GATATCTTTTGAAGCTGCAAAGCACAGTCTTGGACTCAGCGCATCCAGGGGAACCGAGATTGATGAATATCCCAAAAGTGTTATTCTGCCTAGCCGCTGCCTATAAGTATACCTGCGAATCCGTTTGAAAGTTTGTTTCAGGTGGCGTAGATCCCACTGGACCTCATCTCTACGAATGCTCGGCCAATGGTACAACTATGGCAAAACCTTTCGCAGCACAAGGTTCTGGAAGCTATGCTGCCATCTCCGTTCTAGAACGAGATTTCAGAAATAATATGAGCGTATGTTTAGTCGTAGATCACTTATAAGACTTATATCATGCACTTAGGAAGAAGACGCAGTCAACCTTGTGCAGCGAGCACTTCATGCTGGTATGCATGGAGACAATGCTTCTGGGAACAGTCTAAATCTAGTGATTATGCGACCAGACAAGACTGAATTTAGGGTTGGTTTTCACGCTATGTTACATATCGAGTATCGCAATTCTTGCTTAGATCTTCTTTTATACTAATTATTCGAAGGTTATCTTTCTTTTATTAACATATGTTGTTCTAGTTTAATACACTGTGTTCAAGGGACCCATCGTACCTGATTTTTGCAAGAAGCCTGAACCTATTGATCTGTCGTACAAGTTCAAGTCAGGTGCAACGAAAGTGTTGAAGAGGAAAACTATCAAATTTGATGTGATCGAATCGATGGATATCAGTCACTGAATGATTGATCGATTTAAATGTTACCTTTTTGCTTCATCAACCATGTTACTTCTATTTATTATTCCATTTGGTAATTCTTGAAATATATCAACAGTGATGATAAAGCAGTTGCAGTAATAATAAATGGTACTTGAAGTGTACGAGTTTTGTCAGTGTTAGTTGAAACGATATAAAGGTGAGCTTCATCATGCTGTATCTTGACTTTTCCAACAAAAGCTTTGCATAGAATAAAACATATGCAACTGCTGTCGTCAGGCGAATTTCCGGGGTTGTGCTGCAGTTATTGTTAACAGGCTTATCAAGACAACATTGGGAAAAGCTAAGATGGTTTGGGCGCTATTCGCCTATCCGGGCCCCAAAATTTTTTTGTTTTGGATTTGGCTC